CATTGTAGCTTGGTCAATAGGACTCAATGAGCACTAAAATACTAAATCAAAATGACACTACTACTCAGTAATGAATAAATTGCACATTCAATATCTACATTTAAATCGGAATATTTTCTACTTTATCATCAATAAAAGTAGACGATGTACAAGGAACAATACAGTAAAAGTATTAAGTGAATTTCTGAACAATTTGAATAGAAATTCAGTAGTCTCAATTGTAAACATTTAAATAATCATAAGGGGTTTTGTGGAGATTTAAGTAATTTTATATGGTCGAGATAATAAGTCAATTTAAGCTAGACTACCATAGAAAACCTGAAAGCACTGAACAGCTGCTTCATCCTATTATGGGACTCCTCAGAAGTGCGCACCCATGATCCCGACTAGCAATGCTCGAACCCAGGACCTTCCAGTCTCGCGCCAGAGCACTTAACCGATAGACCACTGAGCTGGCCGGCATCCAACGGTGTTAATGTCTAACTTCAACCAAACCACGAAGATTGAGCAACCGTTCACCACTTGTCTCCAGTGAGTTGTTATCTCACAACTGACGTGGTTGAATTCCACTGGTCACTGCTTCCCACTGTAACTACAGGACGTGTATCTTGAAGTCTGTTATGCCTGGGTCAATTGTTATGCCTGAAGCTAATCGATTCCGCGGTAACGAACGAAAGCCAATGACACAATGACACGATAAGCTATTCTAATCGGTTGTCCCAGGCCCCGCTAACTAGATGAAGAAGTCCAAGGCAAGTAGGGGAATATACATGTATTCCGTAAGCAGCCGAGTACAAGCAATCCAATAAGGGGAAAAGTCAAGCGCATTTATACAGCAACAAATTGTCCTTGAGCATTATTAGTAAATAGCACACACAAAGAAAAAACGGACCAATAGCGTTTAAGATAGTTTACAAGTGGGAAAATGACGTGAAGGTAAAAAGAGCGCTTTTGGCGCGAAAACAGCTAAATTCAAATTTTCAAAATAAAACTACAAGATTAAGCCATTTACCAAGTAAGTTCTGGGGATTTGACATCCTCAACAAAGTCAGTCACTATTGAGCATATGATTATAATCAGAATTGGTTTTGTGGAGATTTCAGTATTTTTCATAGTTGAAATCATGAGTCAATTGAAGTCAGATCACCATGGAAAACCTGGAAACCCTGGACTGCCGTTTCGTCCTAATATGGGACTCCTCAGCAGTGCGCATCCACGATCCCTCACTCGCGAGATTCGAACCCAGAACCTACCAATCTCGCGCCAGAGCACTTAACCGATAGAACACTGAATCGGGACTGCTGGGGAGTCCCATAATAGGACGAAACAGCCGTCCAGTGTTTCCAGGTTTTCTATGGTGGTCTAACTTCATTTGACTCATGATTTCAACTATGAAAAATATTTAAATAATCACAAATAAAAATTCGCAATGAAAACAATCTACACAAACATTATTTGTATTTGTGTGTGTGCATAATTTAAACAAAGTTTTCACTTAAGAAATAGATAACAGAAGGCCTATGATCATTTACTTCAATGCACATTTACTCTATTGTATCACAATTTTATGTACATTTTATATTGTCATTATTACTTGAAATTTAATCTAAGTAAGTAAGTGCACGAAATACCTTAGATAGTGATTAAAGCAATGAACATATAGTTCACATGTATACAATATATATGAAAAATATGCGAATGATTAAAAAAAAAAAGACTAAACAATAGACCAATGTTTTTATCATAATGCTCAGATGTAAGAAACAGAGAAAACACACTAGAAACTAAAGAGAAAACGACGAGTTTTTATCGGATGTAATAAGTAATTTTTTTTGAAAGGTTAACATAATTTTTATGTAATGTCTAACACAATAGTATTTGACTATCAGTGTTTAATTTATTGATACAAATGTATAAAACAATGGAATGATACATATTAAATAATGTTGTTATCAATACAGACAGATGAAGAGGTCAACAATGGAGATGATAAGTGGAAATGTCAGATTTATTGCCAAGAGTAATCACCACATATATATTATTTAGTAAAGGTAGGAACAATAAAAAAGATTACAATGAGCAAGTAGTTAATGTCAAACCCTGTGCAACCTACTATTCCACTGTGAATAAGTTAAACTAAGTGTTTGTAAGTAGACAGGACAGACCTATAGATAATTGATCATTAATATTTTCAACCCATCAATTAAACAAAAGAAAATCATCAGTTAAATAGGTCAATCAAAGGCGATATAGGACGTGGTATGAATGTGTTCACAGTTTCAGGGTAGAGCCTAATTTCATCCTTAGAATTGCTTGAGATAAAATTTATGTACAAAGGCGAAAGTAATCAGAATAAAGGTTATTGATCTAAACTGTGATGAATTTGATATATTCTAGATGAAGTCAGTCGGATAACAGAAAAGATAGTTTTATATTCGCATTGCACTAGATTCTTCTGTCACCTCGTCCTCATTAAATCATTTCAATTTTATATTCCGCATATTTTCTTCCCTACGTTTTATGTTTACAAAGTGAAGCAGAATAAATTGACATAATATCCTATTGGGTTTCATATTGTATCAGCAGATAAGTGGTTTCTCTTCTTCAATTATTCAATCAAGTTAGAAACCATTTTCCAATAATATATATTTACTACTTATTTGAACACATAAATATTGGTACAAAACGGCACCAGATATATATGCACCACATAAAAAATTGTCATTTCATTTAATTGTGTGAGGACTATGATACAACTCGAGTGCCCAGACCGAAGCAGGTGGTTTTCTTAAGGGGCCACACCCGGAACCTTTGACCTAAAGATCTGATCCACAGGGCACTGGAACATCGAGAGGAGATACAGTCCCATGGTAGTCAGTGACCAACGATTGATTTATACGCCATTTGTTCCCTCAGGACACTGGAGTTCATGTGCCCCATTGGTTTGGAATCAGTGTTCCAACTCCCTTTGGTGGATCTTCCATATCCACGAACCCGGTTAAAGCGCCGGACATTCAATTTTCGTCCTCTCAATTTTGTAAACAACACTCTGGCCGCGAGAAGACAATGAGTAAGACTTCCCTGGCAGAGGCTGTATACACGTGGCCGTGTGAGAGCATTTCGAGAAAGAGGGTGGGCCTTCCCTACTTTCGGTCATACCAGGGCATTTGGGGGCTTTTCAATAATATATGTCAATTTAGTAAGTCTTTTGAAATTTTTTGATTATTGTTAGCATTATATTAGATGAATAGTTTAAATTTTACTAAAACTAACAAATGCAACTTGAAATTTTAAATATTATTGACGATTGATACACACCAATGAAGAAAACATTTCGTATGGACTGAGTGTGAAGTTACAAATCATATAAAGTGGCGTTAACTACCACCTTATCGTTTTTTACAATGAGGGAAAAACGATCCAAACATGATTGTGAGATAGTTTCAACCAAGCTGTTCACGCTGACTTTTGATCTTATTTCCAAGATTACTATTTCTCTTTTATGAGGTCACACACAAAAGATAACTATGTAATATAATATGAAAGTAAAGCTTTGTGGGGCTGACGCTTAGTATATAAAGAAATAAGTAATGGGCTTGTTACACGATAGAAACTGGAAAACGATGTGACATGAATTCGTATGCGTCCATTGTTTGAAGCTTTCCATTGATGCTTAGGAGTGCAATCAGTCAATATCTTTCGACATATGTGCATCTTGTGAGGATTGTCTCGATATTGCTACTAAGAAACTGATTACATACAGCCCTAAACATCAGTGAGAAGATTTAAACAACCAATAAAAATCTACCCCACTGCACAATTCAGCGGCTATCAGAATTCAGTAGGTCAGTGAATAACTCGATAATGTTTGGAGCAAACGGTACTGGGTACCGATCTTGGAGTGAACATCACCTCTGGATGTACGTACATGCAAATGACGAGTCACAAACAGATTGAAAAGTGAGTCCTGAATTCCACTGCTAGCCACTATCCATCTCTGTTTAAGATATATCAAGGTGTCAATAAATAGGAATGTTTGTAAATTATACAAATTCCAACAGATGACTATTGTTTTGTTTATTTTCTTAAAAATAAATATAAGTTCACCACTTTTTATGTCATACAAGATATTTGAAAATACACAGTTGAAATTTGTACTTGCAACTAATGCTCAAGACGATTATAGATCATAAATACGAAGTGTATGTTTCGAAAAAATTTAGTATCATTCATTGTAAAGTGACTGAAAATTTTTAGGTAACACACTTCAATAAAACTATCTGTTAAATATGCGACACCCCTAATGAAAGTTCCGACTCTGTAGGGTTTGTGGTCTTATTTGCTATACTTAATAATCAGGAACCACTGCAATTCCTATGAGGCGAAGTGAGAAAATGAAATACTATTGAGATGAAAATTTATTGATTCCTTGTAATTCTCACGTCTTGGCTATTGAGAGATTACATCTTTATTAGTATGGGTTTGAGCAATGGTAAAGTCGACATTTAATTTTAATCAAGCATTATTGACAAATTTACATTCGATGAAGAGTTTATCGATATGCTCATTATACCACAAGATTTTTACAATAGATAAATTGCGACTTGCAGTGGAATGCAAGACGCATATCTTATCCCATTGCGAACTCCTCAGTTGGATGCACTTGCATCCTGATGTTCACACTGAGGCTAAAGCTCAAAATCTTCTGCTTTAGATGTCCAATACGTTACACATTATGCTCCACTAACAATGAACATATCTATTCATTAAAACACAAATATTTGATGTGTTTTGGTATTATTATTTAAACTTGGTTCAGACCAACTGCGTAATGATATACTTTCTTGATTACCAAACAAATTATCGTGTTGAAAAAATAACCGTAGGAATTTTTGGACTGCTGATGAAAACTAATAAGTGACATGAAATAAAGATATATATATATATATATATATATATATAGCATTATATCACAAATAAGAAGTCAAAACCATACTTACTCGCGAATATCCAGGTGAATTAATCAAAAATAAAGGAATACTCCCCAAAGGCATTAAATCACGTAACAATTGAGTTTCAATTGGCCTAGTAGGATCTGGTGAAGCTTTCAGTCTTACGAAAAATAATAAATAACACAAACCAACCAATTTAATTATAGAAATAATTCAACAGAGATAAATAGTTAATTGCATTAACAATATTTAGTCAGTCAGTTACAACGTAGAACTTTTACGTACGTACATCAGTTCGAGTTGCCATACTACATTGACACAGAGATCCAGTTGTCAATTCAAATCACATAGTGGTAGAAGTAGTAAGAGTTTAAGCAGTAATCCGAAAGATTTGGGTTTCAAGATCTTATTCAAGGAGTATAATCCAATGAAGTAAATTTGGAAAGGGAAAAAGGATAGGAGCATGAAGAATTAAGAAGATTAGAATATAGCAGAAGACAAAGAGTGGATGCACCTTCGCCATTGCAAACGATTTTGAGCCATGCCATTCAAGGTTTCCAACCATCGGTTGCTATCATTTCGCGAATCCCAACCAGGTAGTCTGGAGCTACCAACATGGCACAGTTCACTTGTCAGCGACTTCATGAATTTGTGCCACGTTTTGGTCTGGCCGGCTCTAGCTTTCTTACAACCCATTCCTACAACTTGAAACATTGCACGTCGGGCAGTCAGTGGTTGGACATACGTAACACGTGTCCCAGCCATCTCAACTGATGAAGTTTCACTACTTCATCAATCAATTTGTCATCCTTACCTAGTACCCGTTTCCTAACAACAATATTCAGTGTACTGTTTTAATTGAACTACAGAAAATAGATGAAGAAAAAATAATTTGAAAAACAAAGAAATATAAACATACTTGGAGAATAATCGGAATATATCACCGATTTCTGTAGGGCATGGTACAAGTTTTACAGCTATTCGATTATGTAATGTTGGATAGTGATTAGCTGTAACTGTTTCGATTGTTTTACGAAAAGTTAAAATATCGGAACGTTTTGTAGTTAAATCGTAAGTTGAATCAAGTATACAACCTGAATAGATTTTTTTTAAAATAAAATACAGTAAAAGGAAAGAATATAAGATATGTTTTATGTTGGAAATGTTTTGTTTTCAATCCAACAATATCAAAAAATATAGATAGTAAATATTATAAGTAAGGACTTGTATGCAATGAGGATGTTTCATTATTAGTCAGTGCCCCCAAATGCCCTGGGACGGCCGAGAGTGGCAAGATTCCGCCCACCCTCTCCAAATGCTCTCACATGACCACGCGTATACAGACTCTGCCAAGGAAGTAATACACACGGCCTTGTCGTGGCATTACTGTTGTTTACGAAATTGGGAGGACGAAAATCGAATGTACGGCGCTCTAACCAGGTTCGTGCATATGGAAGATCCACCAAGAGGAGTTGGAAAACCCTGAATCCAAACAAATGGTGAACATGGGCTCCAGTATCCTGAAGGAAAAAGTGGCGTATGAATCAATCGTTGGTCACCGGCCACCACGGAAATGCATCTCCTCAGGTTGCTCTATTTTCTTGTGGATCAAACCTTTGGGTCGAAGGCTCAGGGTGTGGCTCCCTAAGAAAACCACCTCCTTCGGTGTGGGCACCCGGACAGTATCACAGCCCTCACACAAATCAAACGAGATTTGTGCGGCGCATATGTATCTGGTGCTTCCTTGTACCAATAATTATATATTTAAGTAAATAAATTATAAATTATTAGTAAGTGTTTCATCAATCAAATGTGTAGTAAGTAGACGGGAGCTAGAATACATTGATAGTAGTAAAGCAATTCATTTGTCGACAACTAGATTAAACGTAATATAAATAAGTAAACTAAGAGATTTATACACGGCGGAATGATAAGTGCATAATTTATTTCGATATGGTGAGAGCCTGTAGCTCAACAGAACAATTTTATTGAAGTTGTGTTCTTTCAGTTGGGTGGTCTTATCTTGAGGTTTACATGATCTAGACAGTATCATCACAAAACACAGAAAGTTTAATCACGAAATAAGTAAACAAAACTGATCCTTATGAATCATAAAGAGAGAAAGCTTTGGCAAAACTATTAAAGTTTGATCAGTAGTATTACAGTAGTTGATAACGGTGAAATATTAGTCAAATGAACTTTGTTTTTCAGTGGTTGTATAGGTAAAGTCAGTTCCTGACGTAAATTACGTATCGGACAACCTCCGTAATTCTTTTACAGTATGTAAACTCGATCATGTTTTTTTTTAAATGAAACACTTACCACCATGAATCACTAATATAAGGATTAGTTTACCACAATTTTGTTGAACACTAGAGACAGGTTTTTGGTTAAAGCCTATTAGTATGTAAACTCGATCATGTTTTTTTTAAAATGAAACACTTACCACCATGAATCACTAATATAAGGATTAGTTTACCACAATTTTGTTGAACACTAGAGACAGGTTTTTGGTTAAAGCCTATTAAGGAGAAAAGTAAGAGGGGACGAAAATATATAAATTAATCATTTTGATTCATCGAAAAGTTTAATTTTATTCACATACAATATCTCTCAAGCAATTTCATGATCAAATTATTCGCTGATGTTTCTTGTACAATTCAACTTTTACAAAAAAGTCGTGATATGAATGATAAAGTTGTAATTTGTTACAATGAAGTATAGAGTGAAACATTTCAAAATACTAAGAACAATATGAGCTTGAGATGGTGATTAGAGGTAGTCAACAACCATCTCACCTAAACATAGTGCACGCGATGCCGAATCACCTAGACTAGTGGCAACACTACAACTTGGTCGGTAGAATTCGATCTGCACTAAGGAGGACCTGATACACTTGACATTGATCATCACCCAGTGATCAATCAATTGTAAACAATATAAGCATGCTTAAATAGGAATCCCTGATCAAACTTTTCTTGCTGTTTTGACTCAAAAACATTGAACAAAACATGAGACTTGGTTTCCTGGCTAATTGCATCTTTGTTGACTTTGATTGAGTTTGATTTTTGAAAAGTAGCTTTTCTAGTACAACAACCAACTATAGAGGTCAACTGAACAGGCTACGTACTAAATAAGATGATTCATCATCTGCTACATGAATGTACGGAAATTACTGAGATTAGTTCCCAACTGGTTCGTGTCCTATGTATTATGAAACCATGATTATAAAAATGTAGCTTACAAGATTTTATTCCTGGAATATCAAAACTCTGGAAATTTGACGCAAGAGGAGTAGCATAATCAGTATTCCCAGTAAGATCGCTACAACATGTAATAAATGACCTAGTATCATCATCGGATTCTGTAAAAGAAAAGATAACACAATAACTGTATTATTGGTACTTTAATACACATTTAACACAAAACAATTCAGTGACAATAATAATAATCATACAATCACGAATAAATTTTGAGTTATTTGTTTTCGTAAACTAATATCAGTTAAAAAAAACCTCGTCAAAGTAAACAGTACTACAGGACTGTTTCATTATAACTAAAAAAGATTTAGGCAGTTTAAAACCTTAGCTCTATACTGTAGTGAACACAAAACAGAGAGGATTATGTTAGAATGTAAGCGTTAACACTTGCAACGACAGAATATACGCGATCTACCCAAACAATCTCTTGGCATCCCAGCTGGAAATACTTTTGTTTTCTGCCAATTTAGTTTTACAGATTATAAAACTAAAAACTTATCATCATTGAAATGACTTATTTTTCTTGATGACAGTTGTTTGTAACAGAAGTCCCAAAATAATCGAAACATTTAAAAAAAACCTTAAAACGATTGATATCGTTAATAAATTTTGAAAGCGTACTGAGAAAATGGAGTTCATCTGGAAAATGAAATGCGTACCCCTACTCCTCAGAAAAATTATCTCGAACAAACGGATCACATGTTCAGTTATCCAGACACTTAGATAACGTCCAAAACAAAGTTGAATTAAATAAAATGTATAAGAAATAATACGTGATAATTAAGAATGTAACAGAAAGAGAGATGATAAACTGAAAAGAATAACCAATTATCACACCATCTAAGGCATTGAAGTGGTTTAAAGATTACGAAAACAGATTAAAGGTAAAAGTTGTTCCCACTGATAAAAAGGAGGTTTGAACTTTCTGATGACCAAGGCTTTCACAAACTTTGGGATGTACCCCTAAACATTTTCTTGTGTAAATTTACAAAGCTGTTTTGGAGTCAGTCCTATTGTACTGAAGAAACAGTCAGGTACGACAAACCACTTTATTGTTCCATACAAAATTACAGAGTGCTTTCACAAAACAATACACTAAATAAATCATTTGCATATCTTACATCAGTTGTCCTTCGCATGCCTCATGATTCTTTCAATTCTGTTGCTATTACAATTACTCTATATTCTCTTAAATTGAATATTCTTAATCTTCTGCTGGTATGCATTCCACTTTCGATTGGTGCTATATACTACTTATATCAGTCAACGTAAATAGAATACACCATACTATGACCTGTTTCATTGATATTTTTCTATTGATGAGCATAGTCTTCTGCTCAACTTGTCTAACAGAATAAGTAACACCAATGAATTCCCAAGTCACTTAAGCACACATATCAATAAACATGACTGAATTGTTCGAAAACTGCTCTCAATATTTGTATTCAAACAAATGTGAATCGGTGAAAGCAATGAGAAGTGACTTAATCGTATATACAGTTTCGAGGCCTATGTGGAATCATGAGGTTAGTTTTTTTAATCATAAGCGATTTTGCACTAATAGTAATTGACCTTAAAACAGCCTTTAAATCTTTGAATAAAAATTTTCAGGGGCGCATTCTTACGTTTATAAAAGCCTTGGAAACAAGTTTCCTACACCTTGAATCTATCTTCTTAATCATTAATCTATCCTAATGCATAGATGGTGTGATAGTTTCTGATCCCTTTTATATTATGTCATTTTTCTATTATATTCTCAATTATCTTTTAGTGTTTTATTTAACAATTTATTCAGAATACTTAGATGCTAAAATACGAACTCATTTCAAACAGTTTACCCAGTACATCCATTGAATACAGTCAACAGTGAAGTATAGACTTGAGCCTGTATTAAATGTTTTGAACAATCAGGTTGTCATATCCCAGATTAAAGGGTATGCATATACATGACAAAGTAACACTAACCTGCACAAGGTGCTGTAAAAGGTTCAAAATCATCAAGTTCAAAATTGTTCGCTTCTAATTTCTTAAAATCAGCCCATAAATTTTGTTCTGTAAAAACAAAATAATAGTTATTATTACTATTATTACTCTTTTAATTGGAAATTGAGAAACTTGTCAATTTTGACCTTACTGTTTCACTCAAATAATAAAAACAAATATTTATACTGTTAACTATGAGGAAAAATGAAGAGATTAAATGACACTGTGTTTAGAGACTACAAAAATGCATTTAAATTAGCCCCATTGTTTTAATAACATCTATTTTACTGTTGAAAGCGTGAGTTAATTGAAGCTGGACCACCAATGAAAAACCTGGAAGCACTGCTTGACGGTCGTTTCGTCCTATTGTGGGACTCCTCGACAGTGCACATCCACGATCTCGCCTCGCGAGATTCGAACCCAGGACCTAACAAGTCTCGCACCAGAGCACTTAACCGATAGACGACTGAACCGGCGACCGAAAATAATTTCTCACTAAAGCATAAATTATAATTATTAAATAAATTAAAAGATATTATAAGAAAAAACGACTAACAATATACGATCTAAAGAGTTGAGTTATGACCATTGACATATATATGTGATAAATAAAACAATATGAATAGTTAAATTATTATATCATTGAAAGCAATTATCAGAATGACGTAAACTGAATGACTTCAGATTTTTGAGATTGTTTCTTTAATTGGATTTATGGGTAAAGTTATCATAGAATGGATAAAACTGAGAAGACCCAGAAACAATATGTTATCAGAAAATGATTTATTTTGCATGAGTGAATGATGAGCTTAATAATAATAATAATAATAATAATAATAATAATAATAATAATAATAATAATAATAATAATAATAATAATATCGAGACTGCAAATAGATTTGAATTAGTATTTGGAAACCAGTTATCTCTATAGCTTTCAATTACCACCCAGATATGAATGGATTAGTTTAATAATTATTTATATCAGAAGGGGATTTGCGGAGATTTCAGTATTTTTCAAAGTTGAAATCATGAGTCAATTGAAGCTAGACCACCATCGAAAACCTGGAAGCACTGGACGGCCGTTTCGTCCTATTATGGAACTCCTCAGCAGTGCGCATCCACGAACCCGCTCTCGCGAGATTCGAACCCAGGACCTACCAGTCTCGAGCCGAAGCCCTTAACCGATAGACCACTGAGCCGGCATCCAACGGTGTTAATGTCTAATTTCAACTGATCCACGAAGCTGAGCAACCGTCTTGGGTTCGAATCTCGCGAGAGCGGGTTCGTGGATGCGCACTGCTGAGGAGTCCCATAATAGGACGAAGCGACCGTCAAGCAGTGCTTCCAGGTTTTCGATGGTGGTCTAGCTTCAATTGACTCATGATTTCAACTTTGGATTATTGATATGTTAAATAGTTGGATTAACTTTTCACAACTTAGACTATTCAGTTCTATAATATAAATACTGTGCAGAAACGGTTATTATTGAATTAAAAATAGATTAGATTTTCATGAAATTATCACTTTGTAAAAAATCTACCTTAAGTGAAATGAAATAGTATGACCCTATTTCTTATGCAAATTTTCCCAAAACATTATAAAACTATGATTATTACCAAGAATTAGACTGAAAATAACTTTGAAAATTGAGTGATAAATTATTATCGGAATTCTTTGTTCCAATATGATAACAATGATTTGATTAACGAAAATCAGTAATAATTGAATAGTCAGTCAGTTACAACGTAGAACTTCGTACGTACGTACATCAGTTCGAGTTGCCATACTACATTAACACAGAGATGAAGTTGTCGATTCAAATCACATAGTGGTAGAAGTAGTAAGAGTATAAGTATTATGTGAAAGATTAGGGTTTGAAGATGTTATTCAAGGAGTATAATACAGTGAAATAAATTTGGAAAGAGAAAAAGGATAGAGACATGAAGAATTCAGAACAGTTATACATTTCTATTCATAATATCTTTCATCTATAAATCTTACCTTATCAAATCATCTTAAGGCTTGAGGTAATATGATTTTTTCAAATTAAAACCGCCTTATAGTTTTCAATAAAATCAATAGTATCCAATTTATGGGAACTAAGACTTACTAAACACAGTGAGTGCTTGAATAACAATGTACAGTATACAAAATGATAAATACATTGTCAATGAACTCACAAAACTTTATTTAAAAACCCTATAACTAAATTTTAAACCAGATAAAAAAGACTGTTACAAATTCCAATAAAAGGAAACAATGTAGTACAGTTTTTCATGAGATATACATGTGTCCAATGTTATTTTAAGAAAAAACAAAACAAATCAAAACAGTTAATACTTTTTCCCGTTATTGAAAATAATTATATGATACATTTAGATACATAGAATATTATTTATACAGATTTATATCTATTAGCATAACGTTCAACTAGCATTTAAATGGCAGTTAGAATAAAGACATATAGTGAGATGGTGGAGAAGATTTGTAGCTTAGGTGGGTGATTTTGATGGAGTTTTATTCTCTGAGCTGGATGGTTTGGTCGTGGAGTTTTCATCGTCCTTCTGAACGACATCATCAGCACAAACTTCTACTCGAAGCTCCACGACAAAACCATCCAGCTCAGAGAACAAAATTCCATCAAAAATAGACATATAGTTGTATGCATAAGATGTGAAATTAAACAATAGGATAAATAATCAAACCACAACGAAAAATAAAAAAGTACAACTATAAATTCAGTGTAAAAAAAAAATAAATTAGAATGTTAATAGTCAAACTAATTTAGAATAATTCAATTTTTTTTAGAAAGTACGTAAATCGTTGATATGACAGAGTTAATACGAAAATACTTCAGTGATTAATTGAATTGTTATGTGTAGTCCAAAGACCAACTCTCAGATGGAAAGAAGGGTTCAACTTAGTAAGAAAGTAAAATTAACAAAATACAAAAAATTAGATAAATCAAATATGTCTTCTTGAGAAATACATTTGGATTTGACATTTCGATAGAAAAACAAACAAACAAAGGATTGTAAGCAAAGATGGATAGTGGTCAGCAGTGGAAGACAGGACGCACGTTTCGTCCTACCTGAGACTCGTCATCTGGATGTACCTGCATCTCAGAGTTGATGTTCACTGTGAAACTCGAACCCAGTACCTTTCGCTTCAAACACCATCGCGTTATCCACTCAGCTACTGAGTACTGATAATCACTTGCTTGTGTAATGGGATGAAGTTTAAATTCACTTGGTATTGTTTGTTTGAATCTTCCCATTGATGTTTAGGACTGCAACTGGTCAGTCTTTAATTCGCATATGTGCAATGTAGAATCTGGCACATGTGTACATCGGTTCAAGTCGCCATAACCTATTAGCAGTACGAGATGAAATTGTCAAGGCAAAATTACATTGCAGTAGAGATAGTAACCAAATTAATAGTAATTAAAAAAAAGCATTACGGACCAAGATACAGTTTGAAAAGAAAATATAAGAACAATACCCAATAAACAAATATATTATAAACTAATACTGAAAGTTAATGATTACACACACGAAGATATATATATATATATATATATATATATATATATATGACAAACTTCAATTGTAAACAACACAAATCGGCATAACTATCTAGGAAAGCATAGAGATTAGCAAAACAACCGTTAAATTATAAGTACCATGGATAAATACACACAAAATTAACGTAAGTTCTATTTCAAATATTTTACACACAACAAAATAGAACGTTCACATTGAAACTAATCAAACGTAAATATTAACACGTACAAATCAACAACAAAAAAATGTTTATTTTTTTATAGTTTAGGTGGCCTGTTATCCCTCGTGGATGAGCATAAGCCGCTCACCAGCATTTTAGTTTAGCCGCATATTTTAATAGTTATATTTATATGATGTAATAATAAATAAATAGTGTAAAATAGATAGAAAGATAAGTACAAAGTATATTATGATAGAAGTATTTAAAGAATGTTATGCTAAAATTGTAGTTAGGAAAACAATTAGAAAGAAAAAAAAAAGAGAAAAAAAAAGAAATGAATGACTGAAGATAATCAATTATCTAACTTAGTGTTATACTATACTCGACTTAAGTAGGTAATAAAGATGAATGAAGTAAAATGAAAGTGAAGAAAAAATATAGAATGTCTCAACTTGGTGTATAGTTTTGATACTGTATGCCTCGGTTCTATTTGGATACCATCCTTACTGCTTTTTTTTAAGTGAACTAAGTTTTATATTTCTATTCCGTGTTTACAAGATGTATCTACTAATGGAATACAGATTTGTATACATGAATAAATGAGGACACGTAAAAGATTAGGCTAAGGATTAAATTACATTGAAATTTGTTTTAATCTACTTATTTATTCATTAGTAGGATTAATCTGTAAGGGTTTTCTGACACAGATTATACGACTAACTTTACCACCTACAATGCTTGAAATATGATTCTTTCGAAATGATTGTAGATAAAAACAATGACAATAGTATGTGAAAAGAGAGACAACACCTACAGATACATATATATGTACATATATAAAACAAAAGAGGAAAACACATTATACATAATATCTACTCAGGTTATGTAATTTTAACTGGACGAGTAGCATTTAGACAAATCCTCACCTGTAATATCAGTTGAATTAACTGAAAGATGGAATTTTTCTGATGTCGCTGTGCTTGAATCAGATTCACAATTCTAATAAAATTTAGACAAAAAAAACAGGGATACACAACCGTGAAAGCGTAAAATGAATACTTTTGTAGAGAAACAAAAACACGATTTCAAATATACAAAACAATTTAAAGGTTGAAATAAAAGTGAAAAATCCAGAGAGAATATAGTTGAAAGTATGTGACTATTTTCATCACAGTCATTGTCAACCATAAACAATTTACAAGCTAGCTTATATGTAAATCGATCCAATTTAAACACATCAATGTTAAATGACATATCACTACCAAAGGAACCTTTGTATATTCCGTAAATAGTATGAACTAATTTGAACAATTTACTTAAACAGCTTCAAGAAAAGTAGATTCTTATAAGATCATAATTGTATACTTAGCGATTAGGCATTATATACGTTCACGAAAATGCTGACTAGTATTGAAGATGGTTGGAAGAAAGTTAGGGGAATCTAAACCATAACGTGGAATCATTGCTTGAAGTCACTAACTTCTAGTCTAAGACATGTTGGCAGATGCAGACTACTTGGTTGGGATCCGCGTGACTATAGTAACCAATGGTTGGAGACTCTGGGTGACATGGCTCAGAATCGATCACAATGGCGTAGGTGTATACACTTTCTGTCTTCCTTTAAACCTTGAGATTAAAATTGCTTCATATCTGTCCTTCTTCCTGTGCTATATACTTATACACAACCTTTCATTTATGTATTAACACCACTAAATTAACTACTTTTATGAATTCAGTGCTCATCTTGTTGTGCTAACGAGTTATGGCAACTTCGACCGATGCATACATGTGCCTGGTCCTACGTTATGGCTGACTGACTGAGGTTAACAAAAACTTCAATTTGTGGGTCACGTAATTGATGGAAGTATAAATCGGGATACACTTCAATAGATAACACCATCAATTAGAAATTGACATGAAACTAGAAACTTCTGAAAACGGTATTTCATAAAGGATATACTCTCTTGTACAGTTTATATACTCACAATTTTTGAGAATACAACTCTATCAAGCATAACAACTAGTGTAGTAACCCTGATCAGTGGTTGGAACTCTCAGACGATATGATTCAAAACTGATCACATTGGTGTAGATCCATTTACTTTTTTTCATCTATCCATAAGTATTGAATTATGATGTTTATTTCATGGCCTTTAATTCTGCAAATTAATTCATTCATCTTGAACCACATTCTTTCTGTTTAGTTCTTTTTACTTTCACAAGCACCACTATTATTATTGACTCAATCTTATTCACTCTGACTCGCTTGTGTTGACACGATTTCAGAACTTGATTCGATGAATATTTGTTGCATGTCTGAGAATTATATAGTAACCCTATCTTATCAGTATAACATTGAGTAAACTGTTTAAAAGTGCCATAAAACTAATTGTATAGTCTGTGTATGCATGTGAATCGCAAAAATTATGTGAAAATCCACCAGTCTATCTTTTTGGCAAACAATGAGAGATTATTTTTATTTTGGAATGCACTAATGGATGCAGTCAATAACGTTTCGTGTTTAACATTCTACTGATCCGAATAAGATTCCTACTTAACATGCTCTAGATACGATTTGACATATTCATGGATTTTAATGTAATTATTCAGTAAACTAAACTTCTGTCAAAAAAACTTCCATAATCTTATACAAAAACTATTAGTACATTAAACCTAAACTATTTATCTTGTAGCTGACATATTTTGGATACCTTGAAACGTTTGCTCATACTTGACATTGATTAGCACACGTCGCAAGATATATTTTGCCAGCCTTCTCTAAATCTGGATTAGTGGGTGCCACCTCTTTATTTGTACCTGCTTTATAGACAGAGACCCAATACTATGGCGTGTATGCTTATAAAAGTATTTTTCTGATCCATAGAAACACCAATCAGAGAGCGACATTTAGGTATGCTAGTTCGTTATTGACGGATAAAGTAGCGGAACCAGTGTGAGAAGTAATTATGAAACCAGACCTAGGCAATTCATATGACATTTTAAAATAAGAACTCGTAAGTCACTTTACATACACATCTGCAAGTTATAGATAATTTATCAGCTACGGTCCAGCTAGATAACAACACCTTATTACAAGCTGAAAACTATGTAATTAGTGATCTGGAAAATCCTCAGGTAGATAGTCATTTATTTTACTATGTCTCAGACGTTTGTTGAAAGGACATTCACCAGACCCTAGCTTCTGATGACAAGAACGTGGATATAGACAATTCATCAACCGTTGATTTGCGTCAGTAGTTCTGTCCGACGACATCAGTCACCAGTGGTTGCCGACCTGGACGATGAACAGGCGTTTCTTCATTAAGTTTCAGGGTAGCAAATAACACCGGGCTAAGTTACCAGACTTCTCTATAACAGCAAGCGGATGATCGAATGAAATTGAGTTAAGGTGACGTCTTTTAAGTGACCAAGACCTAGTTAAATGTTGAGTGTGTTCTCTCAAAGGTAAGTAAATGGTCTTTGAACAGGGTATATTCATTTTCTGTTCTAGAGTGGTAATTTAATCTGATAATGGTCTTTACACTGATACTAACAGTGATTTCGTGAGCAATGTACCCAAAGATTTTGAGAGAAAAAGGATGTGTCGTATAAATCAACTGACTATTAAATCAAAACTAATGAATGTAAACTTAAACTAACTTCATCAGACTGATCACATTTCACTTCAATAGCATTCATAGTTGCATTGCCGCTTGGTGTTGTTGATCGAACTTCCTTAGATAACTCGTCGCCATTATTTGGCAGTTGGTTTGAATCAGCCATTTTAGACGCTAATGCTTGAGCTGTTTCCTCTTCTAAACGACGAATTTCCTCTATTGTAAGACCATACCACTCATCTTGCCACGCCCATACTTGCCGATGTGCTCTTAGCATAGTTTTTCGAAGTGCTAAAATAATGGAATAAAATTTTGAATAATTTTATATGTTTTAGAAGACGATATAGCATTCTGAAGTATTCATCATGATCCTATTGTAAAAAAAAGTCGAATATACAAATATTACACACGGATCGTTTAATACTAATCAATATTATGTTTGTCTAGACTTTAATTCTCGACGAATTCCGATAAAAGTCAATACCAGTCAGAGTGACTCGACTTCACGTACAATGTTATGGTGTTAGATGGTTGGAAACCATGGGCAGTAAACTTCAGATCTACGTTTTGTGATAGTTGGCACTAATTAGCAAAGCGTATCTGCAATATACTGGGAATTAACACTCGCCATGAGATTTGAGCTCGCGTTATCAAGTGTCATAGACAACGATTTTACCACTGCCGAGCCATTAGGGTCCTGACCGAGATATTTGCACCAATCCACCAATGAATAGTAACCAATGTCGTATTTATGTAGTCCTCAGCACTGACCAACTTCTAACGATCATATTAAAAAAATCAGATGATAAATGAGCAATACATACTAACTGGATGAATGATAAACGTTCTTTTCAGGCAAAACATCTCGAAATATTTTAGTACAATGACAAAGCATAAATTATTTAAGCTAAACTGAACCACCAGTTCAATACGATTGTAATGAATGTGAAGTGTACACCTCCCGATTCGGTGGTAAATGGAGAAATATTTACTACGATTCGGAAAATTACAACAATTTAATAAATTATTATTACAGTTCGCTTTAATAAGTGTTTAACTATAATTATCCTTTTGATAGCAACTAATAACCGAAAAGGCTTCAAAAGTCAGAGTTCACACTTTAAAAACCACCTATCAAAGTAGGGGATTTTTAATAATTTTTGAAGGTGAAAAAAGTCTGTCATGAAAACTGTTTTACTGTTGAGAACAGATTTCTGAAGTTACACTCAAACAGACTGAATAGTAAATCTCAAGTTTGAAAAAATTGATTGGTATTTTACTCTGTGGAATTCGTAAAAATTCGCTCAGCTACATCCCAATCGACCTTCATAACATGGTAGAACTTCGAAAAGAATATTTCGAATAAATGAATAGGGTGAAACGTTATATAGGTGTAGTAGCATGATCAGGAGTGACAATATTATAGAAAGTTACATACGCTCAACAGAGTTCTTTTTGACTGCCACACAATACAAGTTATGAAATTGATTAACTTCCGATTTAATAAACTTCAGAGAAGTAATGAGATAGTTAATTTCCTTTTATTACAATATGGTGAAATGCAATTGTTCGATCTCAGTTCTTAAAACTTTAGCATTATATCCCAAATAGGAACTAGTTGGAGAATACAGTTTTTATATTTGAAAAGTAGCGAAACTCTTTGTAAGACAGCAGACCAATGAACAGAACTAATCACTTTCATATAGATAGTTTTAGTGATAGAAACATACTAACAATCCCGATGATATCAGCACAAGTTTTATAAAGTTGATATACATATAAAACGAACCATACTTTAAACACATATCGTGTCATTTTAAAACAAACTGAAATAAATTATTAGAGATTCTAAAACAGTGAAAAATACTCGAGACACTTATCTAGACTGAGTAGTATACGGTGATCTAACAATCAGAGGACTTGTTTCCCACTCAACAGATTGAAGATTTCAACTACAGTTTAATCAGTCTAATTGTATCATTATCCCTAAAATAAAAATACTTTGGCTCAAATTCGAGCATACAAACTTTCATTTAAAAAATGAATAACAAAAGAAATAATATAGACTTCTATTGGGTCTGTTATTTATCCACTAATTATATTGGCCAAAGTTAATCTGGATTATTTTACAAATAATAATGATTACTGAGATTCATAGATATTTTTCTAATAGTGCATAAATAGTTATCAAATTGAGTAGACAACAAGAAGCATAAATTATTTAACTTTTGAACGTAAAAGTGTTACATACCAGTATCATGGATAAACTGTTCCACTCGTGTTTGTGTACCCCAATAACGGAATTCTACTCGACAAAGTTTATATGCACACATAATACGTTTATGAAGTGGCTTTAGACATTCAACAGTAGCTGGTGAATTATCATGAGTTCGAGTCGGTGGTTTTTCATAAGTTTCATGAGTCACTTGTTGAGCATGAATAAATTCCTCACGCCAATTAGGTGACAATGGACCACGACCAGTTGCTTCTGATACATAAATACTAGGATCTTCTTCTGGTTTATAATCACTTCCAGTAATTGAATCTTTTACGATATCAATAAAATCTGCATAGAAAATTCGAAAACAAAAGGACGAATGTACTTAACGATAAGAAAAGGAAATGAAAAAGTATACGTTAACAATAATGAAACGTTTACAGAAACTTGATTTTAAAGAATTACCCAAAAATCTATGGTGAAAAGAATTACATTAGTTTGTCAGTCAGTCAGTCAGTCACAACGTAGAACTTTGTACGTACGTACATCAGTTCGAGTTGCCATACCACATTAGCACAGAGATGCAGTTGTTGATTCAAATCCCATAGTGGTAGAAGTAGTAAGAGTTTGCACTTTCCTATAAACAACGATAACCTTTGAAATACAATCTTTGGAAAATAAATAACATTTGAAAACAGTTCTTAAATTTGTACATGGTCAAATAAAATATTAAAATTAGTTGACAGATAATAATCCGCAATTAGTTGCATAAAAACAGAATGAAATAATGCAGTCCATCGTTAGTCAGAGAATTTACTACTACTTAGAATAAAGAAGCAATAGATGCAAATAAAAATTGAATGGATCTTTTTGTTTTTACAGTGATGAAAACTCTATCTACAATTTTAGCTTGTCTAGATCTTTGGACTACCTGTTTTCCAACCATAGCAACGATTTCTTTTACTTTCAATGTCTTTTAACTGATTAATTATGCTTATTCACTACATTTTATCTTATGAGCTTTAAAAAACACTTTTACTGAGGTACCAAACAATAAGAAACTCAAACAGAGACATCATAGTAATCGGTGTAATCTTCTTAATATTTACCCTTTGCGAAAATGATGTACAAATATGTCATTATTCATGAACTCGAAGGAAAATATAAAGGAAATACCCTATCGTAAACTACCTAGTAAGTGATGAAGAATAGTTCCCATAGCAGAACTAGTAAAAAATCCTTACAGTTTGAAATAATGTGAATGCATATGTTGAAATAGTTATGGATGAAAGCACAAATAATCTTTTGCCATACAACCATAATCAAAACCGTAACAAGAACGACAACACAAGACAATTAATTAGGTCTGTGGCTTCATTAAAAATCATACTTTTTACTTTTCGAATTGCATCTCTGCCTGATCGTTTTGCTACCAATAATACTACTATATATAGTACTCTGGGATTTGCCTTGACAATTTCATCTCGATGTATTAATGAGGTGTAGCAACTTATACTAATGTACATATGTGCGAGATTCTATGTTATGTTCGACTATTCGATAGACCAAAAACCGACGGTTTGAATTATAAATAATGTTGCATGAAATTAATAATTATTTTAAGATAAAACTAAACATAGTGTTATCCTTGAATGATGCATTATTTAATCTATACTTCTATTTTTAAACATATTTATTTTGCTTTGATTTGGTCAGTTGATTCGTCTTTCTCATCCTTGGATAGATGTAATCATCGATGTTGACATTAAGTCACACGAATTAATTAAATCCCCTATTCTAATTCGCTTTACCAGTTACACAATAATTTGAATAAATTTAAACGAAAAATCAGTTAAACACAACTGATACAATTAAACCAAAAAAAACTTGAACATCAGTTATTCAATAACAAAAGCTTTACCGTTTAACTCATGAGTAAAATGTGGACCGATATAGTATCCGATAAGTGACAACTCACCAATGATACGTGCCTTTCTTTCATCCGGTGAAAGGTTGAAAACATCATCTTGTTCTCCAGCATCGTCGAAAAAATATGTTTCCACATCGAGTACCAACTTTTCGACAAAAGGGACTTTATAAATTGTCCTGGTGTATGGATACGCGTTCCATGCCTCTTCTTCAACACGTAGAGCCGATGATGGCAGTATATTACGAAGCCAAGCTACAGTTTTAATCAGAAAACAATAGTTAAACTACATTAAATTTATATGAAAAATTTCAGTATTGTTTGTCCCACAAATGGTCTAACCGGAACAGATGACTCTAATAGTGAATCACAGTAAAAAAAAGACAGGAATTTACATGGTCCCAAGTTGTCACATAACGTCAACCATCGTCTTTAACTATTTATAGTGAGTATTCCTCGAGTCATATCCAAGAAAATTGTACTGACTGACATGCTTCATACCAGCAGTCAATGACCTGATAAATTGGATTCACACACTGTGCTCTTAGTCCCCAAATTTTCATCCAATCTACTTACATATCAACCAGGAATACACATCAAGGTAGGAGGTGGTTAATTATGAGTAACATACGTCCAAACGAACTTACTCGATGAAAGCTTATATCGTTGTATATATATATATATATATATATATATATATCGATATTAGGCTTTTACAACTTCTCAGGACTATATAAATGTATATCGGTTTCTACATACTAAGCGACAATCAGACTTCCAATATAGCTTGTATACAACGTAAATAATATGTAAAATATGTAAGTGTAATACATTAGGTTAGTGGTTAGTAAGTGACCTGTGAAAAACTCCAACATTTTTGGTTCAAAGAGTTCAGAAACATAGGACTTACCTGGTAAATGGCTACCCACATGATAAATTTTAAATGTGTATTGACCTTTTCCTCCAGGACCATTTTCATAAGGTTCGTTTTTCAATATTTCCACACCACTTCCACGACCTGTACTCTCTTCACGAGACTTTTTCTAGGTTAAATATAAAGATTTACAAATAACTCATCTGTTAGACCAAAGACATTTCACTTTTATTATCGTGGAAGAAATATACATCTTACCACTCATTAAAGCAATGGAAATAAACACATCTAGAAACATGTGATCGGCGATGTATTAAAGTAAGTTATGATCAAATAGACAATGTGAGAGAAACTATACAGCAAATCTGGCAATGAATTCATAATCTGCTTTGGTTGAGATTAAAATGACGGAAAGTTTCTTTGCTCAAATGGTTAGCATTTATGACATCAATGTTATTTCATGTGGCAGGATTAGGTATATTGAACTCTATTCAATGAAACAAATTGGCCTCAGGAAAAAGTATCCTTGATAATTACAGGTGTGATTTGCTTTATAGGGGAAGGTTCTCAGCTCTTGATTCCCGAAAATGTTGATTCAATATACATACATTGTGAACAAGTAGTATATGTCAGCCTCCACAAGAACCCATCTGCTTTTTCTTATTTGTATAATATCCTTTTGATAATTGTTATAGTGAGTTCACTTTTATCAATACCTTTGTTCATAAGTGATAAAAACATCTTGACTAGTTCCACTAACAAAATATTATATTTTCTATCTCAACTGAAAATTAGGCCCTCACATATTAAAAGCTGATGCAAAACTGAAAATCAAATCCCAACAGTCAAAACGTTGGGAAGTGGTGGCTAAGTGATCCGAGGACTTGGCTTTTATGCAATCAGTTTTAAGTTCGAACCATACATCAATAGCCCTTACTTAAGTTACATGATTTAATTAATTTAAATATACACTTTGGTAATTTCCTTTTGGCAAGTATGTGAATAAATTCATTCATCTTTAGGTGAACGATTGAAGGCTTTAAAAGATGTTTTTATGTTGTGAAACCTGGGCAACTCAACCATTCTTAATAACGGTGCCACAGTACGTAGTACAAAAGTATCTGCATTACTTCATACAAGCGATCATAAGCCACTTTATAAATAAGGATAGAGAAAATGCTATCTGTACTGATGGTTTCCAAAACTATCAAGAAACAGAATGTAAATAAAAGCCTTTATAAATGGTGTATTGGAATAAATTAGTGATCAACAGTATTCAATAGACACAGATTGTGAAAAAAAATAACATTAAATTTCATTAAATACAAACAAAGGATAGAAAATTACAAAGACAGACAAGTTAGTACGGTTTAATCAACCTGTACTATTTTTTTACAAAATTCTAAGCGACTTTATGGTGTCTGTGACTATACCATATCACTTAATTTGTGGTGTGACGTAACAGTACTAATTGGAAGAATATGCGTACGTCTGTAGTATTCCTAAAGTGACAGGATGAGAAACCCACCAACCACAAAGAAAAAACATTGGAAACAAAAATAATCGAAGGACGTTTACCTGAATCATATATAACTGAGCTATCCGATATTCGGCAACTGTTAAAGGCATGCATATGCGATACTCCTTGAGAAGCATAGTTGGAAGCTAAATAACGGAAATATTTAGATCCCTAAAAAACCGAAAGATATATCATTAGTGTATTTAGTCTAGCAAATATAAATGAATATTGTAATATTTATCAGTCACCTAGTTTTCAGGTAAAAGCTTGTACAATATTCATTATGATCATCCAAGTTGTGGTCGACAGAGAACATGGACCAATTATTATGAAAATAGTACAATTTAACCGCTGAATCTGGACTGAGTTATAGGCCACATTGCTTTATATTAAAATAATATTTATATTTTAAGGCTACATCAGACAGAATTCGGAGCCATGATTTCATAATTTACACTTAAGTATCTGTATGTCCAAGAATGAAACACGTTTACAAACCCAGAAGCGGAATTCTCTCAAGCAAATGTTAATGAGAGTCCGATAACTGACCGATTTAAAACTTAAAGCAAACTAGAAAGTCGACAAAAAGGAACGTAGTTATCAAGATCGCATAAAAAATATAACCAGATAGTTTAAAATGACGAATATTCACTAAAAGGATAGAGATTTTTAGTTATCCTAATCGGCGACAGGAGACCGCCAACATATACATCATAATCCATTACAATAAATCATTAAATTATCTAATGACAGTAAAACCAAACCGACAACTATAGACTGGTTAGATTATGTTTGTATAGGATCACTCGACACATTTTTCTTTAGGATTATATGCACACACTCGATTGATTAATCCTACGGTCTTCATTAGGAATGATATTTAACTCAAATTAATCACACTTTGAACGATTCAGACTTCAAACAAGCAGAAGCAGAACGTTATCAAGTGCATACGCTGCTAGAACACTCAAAAAAATCTGATTTCTAAGCCTTCGTATTGCGCACAGAAACATAAATTGTAAAGAGAGAGTATGTAGGTGTCAACCTAACGTTATTCCAACTGCTATTACTAAAATAAACCAGAACCACTTCAAAATATGTGCCTATTTGTAACTCCGCTTACAGCATATGACTGATTGAGATATATCGCTATTGTGATAGCAACTTGACAAATAGTGATGAACCATGATGAAACCATGGCCCAATAATTTTGGCAACTAAATGTTGTATGCATTATTGGTATACCAATATCCCGAGTAACTGTTACACAATATGACCTTAACTGATTACCGTAGTCATAAAGTGTATTGAGATATTATGAAGATATTATGTGGCTGAATATACATACATCTTTCTTGAGAAAGTAGACCTTTCACAGGTAGTTACACATTTCAAACAAACCTTGTCCATTTGTGCCGAATATTTTATAGAGTGATTTATACATTGGTGCAAAGTATTCACTCTTCCCTTAGATCTTGAGTTTAGGGTCGTCTTATACTCTTTATTGCGCATATATATCTGGTGCCTTCTTGTACCAATATTTATGTGTTTAAATAAATAAATGAATAAATTTTATTGCAAGAATTAATTTTCTCCTGAACCATTTTCTGTAAGCCTAATTTCTACACCCCAGTGACCTGGTGCAGTCAAGGGTGGGGAGAGTCCGCTCCCGCTCTCGAAATGCTTTCATATGGTTATTATATAGCCACTGTTAAGGAAGTCCTACTCACTGCCTTCTCAAGGCGTTGGTATTGTTTACGAAACTGAAGGGACGATAAGCGAAGGCTCAACGCTTTAAAAAATTTGTTGGGTACAGAGAACCCGCGAGGTGCAGTTGGAAAACCCTGATTCCATACCTACAATGCACATTGGCCCCAGGACCTTGAGGGAATATGTATCGTACGAACCTACTCTTGACCGATGGATATCATCGAACCGCATCTTCTTACACTGCTCCATTGTTTTGTGGGTTAGACCCCTAGGTCAACGGCTCGGGAAGTGGCCCCCTAAGAAAACTGTCCGCTTTAGTTTGAGCGACCAGAGAGCACCCCAGATCTTATATGACTTTTTGTGGCGTAGATTTATTTTTGTATTATTTATTTATTTAAACACATAAATATTGGTATAAGAAAGCACCAGATAAATATGCGCCTCACGAATCTCATTCGATTTGTGTGAGGGCTGTGGTACTGCTCAGGTGCCCAGACTGAAGCAGGTGGTTTTCTTAGGGGGCCACACTCGGAGCTTTTGACCTAAAGGTCTAATCCATAAGGCAGTGGAGCATCGTAAGGAGATGCAGTCCCATGGAAGCCGGTGAACAACAATTGGTTCATACGCCATTCGTTCCGTCAGGATACTGGAGCCCCCTAATGCCCTGCTACGGCCGAGAGTGGGGAGAGTCTGCTCTCTCTCCAAATGCTCTCATATGGCCAAGCGAATATATAGTCTCTGCCAGGGAAGTCCTACTCACTACCTTCTCGTGGCGGGGGTGTTGTTTACGAAAGTGAGAGGACGAAAAGACAATGTCCGGCGCTTTAACCGGGTTGGTGGACACGGCGAGTTCAGCTAGGGGAGTTGGAAAACCCTGATTTCAAACCAATGATTCACATGGGCTCCAGTACCCTGAACAGAACAAATGGCGTATGAACCAATTGTTGTTCACCGGCTACCATGGGACTGCATCTCCTTACGATGCTCCACTGTCTTGTGGATCAGACATTCAGGTCAAAGGCTCCGGGTGTGGCCCCCTAAGAAAACCACCTGCTTCAGTCTGGGTACCTGGGCAGTATCTCAGCCCTCACACAAATCAAATGAGATTTTTGAGGCGCATATTTATCTGGTGCTTTCTTATACCAATATTTATGTGCTTAAATAAATAAATAAATAAATTGGTTTGAAATCAGGGTTTTCCAACTCCCCCAGGTGGACCCTCCATGTCCACCAACCCGGTTAAAGCGCCGGACATTCGCTTTTCGTTTTCTCACTTTTGTGAACAACACCCCCGCCACGAGAAGGCAGTGAGCAGGACTTCCCAGGCAGAGGCTATATATTCGCTTGGCCATATGAGAGCATTTGGAGAGAGAGCAGACTCTCCCCACTCTCGGCCGTACCAGGGCATTTGGGGGATTTATATAGGCGCAAGAAAGTAACCAGGCCCCTTAGTACCAATATTTGTTTAAATAAATAATACAAAGAACTTTCTAATACCGCTAATGCTGTTACTACATTGACTAGTTAGCTATTTCTTGATAAGTTTTCTGATATTGTATAACAAATTGAACCAGCGAACATTTCCGAGGTTCCGAATTGCTTATGAATGACTAAAGAAGTTCCAAAGACGAGTAGTTAGGAATCTTTATGCGTTATTGATCATTTCCCAAAACTAACGCTGAGGAAACCTTATCGCCAAGAGAACCTTGAATAAGACTTACTTCAAAACTCCATTGAAACAAATTGTTATATGTAGAGTTGTGAGCTTAGCTTGATGACATTAGGGTCTGTAATATTACATAAGATCGAGAGTTGGTGCAATAGATGACAGACAGAAATTCAATGTTTTTCATCTACATATAAAGACAATGGAGTAATCTACTAAATGCAATGACTAAAAATTTTCGAAGCCATGTAATTGAGTGTTTCGATCTTATCTTGATTAGTTTGCAATCAGTATCACAGTATGGGATGTACTTTGCACATTTTAAGTGCAAAAGACCTTTACAAGATAGATAGGAGCCTATATATCTACTCACCGAAAAGTTTTGTATCTCGGTAGTTGAGTGGACATTGGTGGTGGCGTGACAGATAGAATCAATTGACGTATGGTGAAAGTCAGAGCAGTTTATGAAAATTCGGGCCAAATTTGTGGACATCACTGATGTTATTCCAGTTGAAAAAAGTTAGGTCTACAACGCATCCGACAAAATTCTGCTTCATACTTATAAAACCTGACCTCTTCAAGTTGAAGAGTTTCGGTGAATACTCATGTTTGATCATCGTCATCTTCGAAAAACTGATCACAGTCAGTGGCAACACCATGTTGGCAACGTTGAGACTCAGTAGTGTTTGGGCACGAAGATGACCTCCTATATTTGCAAATCTACATATTTAATGTTTTACAAAACCAGAGCAGGTTGCGTAATCCCTTACAGTACCATTTAAATATGAAACACACACGTGCCACACATACAATATTTTGTAAAGTAACTTGATATTTTGATGTACCCTAATCTTCCGATTTTGTCCGTTTTAAGGAAATCTCGGGAGAAATTACAAATTATGACAGGAAATTGGGGAAAACCCCAAAATCGGGAAATCGGGATCATGTGTTTTTACTAACGAACTGAAAAAACCACGATTCAGCTTTACCTTATTAACAATATACCCAAAAATATGCACTTTTTCACTCTCTTAGGCTGACTTTATGCTATAAGTGAAAAATAAGACTGGCGATTACAAACTTGTTTTGAAAAAAACGATCGGCATACGAAAACTATGCATAAAAATATATCAACAGTTATAAGTCACCATATATAACTTTTACTTTTATCATTTAACATAAGGCCACATTAAACAGATAACGAGCAACTAATGGTAAGCTGGGAACCCACAGTTACAAACCAAGGAACGAAAACTGTAGGAAAACGTTTTGAATGGGCGTCACTTCGTGATTTTGTAAAACAAGAACAACACTTTCACTCTCCCGGTTTGTGACTCCTAGAATTATAAGCTGAAGTTGCTTGTTTTCAAACTCCGAATATCTGTTGCATCATTAGTAGTGATTCCAACTTATAACTGTCGATCACGAGTACGCTTCAGCTCAATCCAGACCTAACGTCTGGAAAGCAAACATACCAGACATCATGAAATCAGCATCATTAGTAGATTGGAAATTAGACCCAGAGTCATCAATCGAAACGGCTTGGGACGTATTCCGGAAAATCGTTAGGGAATCCATAGAATGCCCTAAACGCTTGTATTCGTATATAAACCAAAGGACAAAAAGAAGAAGAAATGTTCCTTCACTATGGGGAGACAGTACTGCCACATCACTAGTGGAGGACGACTTTGGCAAAGCTCAAGTATTCTCTAAATACTTTAGCGATGTATACACCATAGAAACACCCTTCTCACCAGTCCATGAAAATCCACCCACACAAGCACTGGACAGCGTAACCATTAAAGAACTCGATGTCTTTGGTCTGCTAGTTAAGCTTGACATAGGCAAATCCACTGGACCCGATGAACTGCATCCTAGGTTACTAAAGGAACTAGCTAACTTTGTTGCGAACCCTTTAAGTGTATGTTTTAATCTATCCGTAATCCAGGGTCGTCTACCAAAAGACTGGAAGAACGCCATAGTAAGTCCAGTCTTCGAAACAGGTTCAAAACATAAGCCTGAGAATTACCGACCAATTAGCCTAACTAGTGTGGTTGTTAAAATCTTAGAAAAGATTATTCGGAAGGAACTGTTAAAGTATCTCGATGAAAACCGGATCCACTTCGAAAAGCAGCATGGTTTTAGAACAGGTTACTCTTGTCTCACAAACTTATTAGTCGCTCGTGATGTGGATAAAAGACTTCCTAGTTGGGCGTCAACAAAGAGTATGGGTGAAATCCAAGTTGTCTAGCTGGGAAACTGTGCTTAGTGGAGTCCCCCAGGGTACAGTTTTGGGGCCAGTGTTATTCCTCCTGTACGTAAATGATCTCCCTCGTCTACTATCGTCATCGGTCTTACTCTATGCTGATGATGTCAAGATATGGAGAGCGATACAAAGCAAGGGCGATAGCTTAGAAATTCAAAATGACCTGGAGAGATTATGTGAATGGTCCCAAACCTGGCAATTGCCGATAAACACTTCCAAGTGTATTGTGATGCATATTGGCCACCAGGGTACAGATACATACAGGATGAATAACACTGAGTTACCTATTGTTCAGGCACACAACGACTTAGGCGTCATCGTCAGTCAAGACTTAAAGACTACTGCACACTGCCGTGCAATAGCCGCCAAAGGTTTCAGGACTTTATGGTCCATACGCAGGGCTTATAAGCATCTTGACGCTAAAACGTTTTTGACTTTGTATACAGTGTTCGTACGCCCTAAACTTGAGTACTGCATACGACAAGCTAGCCATTGCCTAAAAAAAGACAGTGAACTCTTGGAAAGGGTTCAGAGAACAGCAACTAGGCTGATTCCCGGAATAGCGAAGCTCCCGTATGGTACTAGACTGACCAAGCTAAACCTATTCCCGCTGTCATATAGAAGAATCAGAGGTGACTTGATTATAGTTTTCAAATTGCTTAATGACAAATTTGCACCTGATATGCCCTCATTTTTCTTGTCTTCCAAAACAGAAAATCTACGAGGACACTCCAAAAAAGTTCACAAGCCCAGAACGAATTACTTGTCAGCTGACTACCGACTTTCCCATCGAATAATCAACGAGTGGAATTCATTACCACAGCACGTGGTTGAGGCTCCATCCGTCGACTCCTTCAAAAGAAAGTTGGATCAGCTGAGAGAACATCATTGCCAGGACTAACACAGGCCATCAAGCCTCCTGTCCTTTCCAAACTGAAACTGAAACTGAAACTTGATAAACTATGGATCTATTCCTTGTTGTAACATCACATATTTTTTACTTCTACATACCGTGATACAATTTTTGTTTTCTCGGATTGCTTTTCGCTCATTCAAATATTTCGTTCCTATCATCACAGAGCAGATGCCCTAACTGTTAAAGATTTATACTATTTCGCCAATCACTTTTTGACTCATGCCAAACGGTTTAATTGGTTTTAGACGAAATAGAAGAGGCTGTTGGGAGTAGTGTAACGTCGTGTACTATATTACACCTACATAGCTTATTCTAGTTTCTGGACAAGCCAATTCACCTATAACGTTATGAGTCATATTTTGATCTTGTTAATTATTCGCTTATTGACCTTGACTTTTTTTATATGAGCGTATGTGTATGCACCCTTCTTATCCTACCTATCACATGACTGTCATTCATTCTAGTCTGACTATAAATGTTGATTAATGCTTGCTTATAACGAGTTGGCTTACCAGCCATCTCCCATCCTGTTATTTGTCAATAAATATGTAGTTGCCACTTCCCTTTGTCTCCTGATATTATACACCGTTCAGATTGATATAATAACGGTTATCGAGACGATCAATTAACGAAGCACTACACTACAAGGCTTTCGGTTAACGGGCTTCTGTATATAATAGCAATAGATCACCGATACGTCTAGGTAGGAACGTAGGTATGTCATCAACCTCTGGAAAACCTTCCACAAAAGACTACTTCGATCAGTCTATTATCTATCTATCTATCTATCCACTTTTGTTGCACATTTTCGCATTGATATTTTCCAGTACATAATATTCTAGCAACAACTCAATATGGTGGATAACATAATAGTGGCATTATTATAATAGATTCAGAGGTACAGGCAATCAGTTTTTGACTGGTTTCCATTATTCTCCAAGATCCATAAGTTCGGTTCGCGTCACTGAAATCTAAATTCAAGATCCGCCGCATTACGAATCAGCGGCAGAAGTATGCTTGCGCTCTGAAAACGCTACCTGGAGATCGCATAGCTGCTGTTCGTAAGGTTGTCCTCAACCTCAATGCACTTAACATCTATGATCGTCTCTCCAACCGAGGGAGGAACACTTGAGGACATTATTAGAATGTCACCCTCAGGGTGATGCTAAAACGAGCCATCACCTCACGACAGCCGGTTCTGTAATTGTTAGAGAATCATGGCTCGAATCTCTACCAGCAACCATACAACCAACCATCACGGCTCTGCTCGAAGACACCCAACTTACCCAGGTGACCCTCATAGCAGATGAGATACTGGCAAGGGCTAGCACTCAAGACAACTATATAGTTGTCTTGACATCACTCTCGAACGTCGATCCCGACATTGGCCGCATTCCGGCTTAAGGTGATACGGGTGGCCGGCGAGTAAATGCGGCCATACTCGCCAGCCTTTCACTTCAGGTTAGCGTTTTTTATGTGCACGATTATCGCACTAATGCTAGGTACCCAGTAGATACAAGTGCCCAGGTTTTTGTCATACCTATTGGTAACAATAATTCTCAAACTACGATGCTTCGACTACGCGCTGCGAATGCTCAGTCATTCCCACCTCTGGCACACGACAACTTACGATCAACCTGAGCCACCGACGACAGTATCTGTGGACGTTTATCATTGCCAATGTTTCCACAGCCATGCTCGGTATCGATTTACCACAGGACTATTCATTGATAGTCGATATACGTAGGCTGCAGCTAATCGACACTTCGTCGAACAGCAAATTCATGGGCTTTAACGCTCACACAAACACCTACGGAATCACAGATGTACTTCATTCGCGTGACGATTTATTCCACGCTTTATTCCGAAAATTCTCCCAAACTAAACTTCTCTAGGAGATCCCATCGGTGACCAGTCGTATGGTACACCACATAGTTACCTGCAGACACCCAGTCACGGCAAAACCTCGCCAAATAGCACAGGACGAATTAGCTTTCACAAAATGTGGGTTTGACAATTTATTAGCTACTGATGTTCTTATTCATTCTATCAGTCCCTGGGCCTCACCTCTCCACATGGTATACAAAAAGGATGGGGCTAAATTGAGACCATGCGGAGACTAACGAGCATTGGACATATCTACCCCATTCTCCATATACATGACATCACGGCATCACTCAAGAGCACGACTATTTTTTCTAAGATCGATCTGGTACGAGCATATCATCAGATCCCAGTCGCTCTGGAAGACACCACGAAAATCGCTATCACGACTCTTTGGACTACTGGAACTCGAACCTTCCAAAGGTTTATCGATAGCATAGTACGAGACCTAGATTTTGTTCACGTCTATATTGATGGTCTACTAATCACATCATTAAACGTAGATAAATATTAACAGCACCTAACACTCCTATTCCAGCGCCTTCCGGATAATGGAATAATAGTCGGTCAAGCGTGAACTTGGCAAACACAAAATAAAATTTTTAGGTCACATAATTAAGCAAGAGGGCATTCTACCTTGCAAGGATAAAGTACGTGAAATAATGGAGCACACCTTAACGTCCGCACTCAAAAAACTGAAGGCATTTCTCGGTTTGATTAACTTCTGCCGACGTTTCATCCCACAAATTGGACTTGAACGGTGCCAGGTGTACGGCACTTTCAAAAATCGAAATGGATCTAGATCAAGCCACACTCCTTGTTCATCCTGACCCACCAGCCACGCTTAGTATAGCGGTTGATGCACTTCGCCATGGGAGCCGTTGCGCAACGGAAGTTGGCAATCTCTCGAGTTTTTCTCACGACGCCTCTCTCTCACGGAGACGAGATATAGCACTTTTGGTTGAGAACTTCTAGCAGCTTATTGTGCCATCAAACATTTCCGGCATGCAGTAGAAAGTCACAATTTCATCCTATCCACCGACAATAAGCCATTAAAGTATGCTCCGCATACAAAGTCAGACCACTACTCAACACGACAGTGGAGACGAACTATGTTGCCGATGCCCTGTCACGTGTCCAAGCGAATGCAGTTACTTTGCGAGTACTTGATTTCCCTGCTATGGCATCGCCCAAGCAAGTAATCCCTCCTACATAGAAGCATAACATTCAA